GTGGGAATATTAATTCATTCACTCTAGTAATGATACAATGTTTCTTATTATGTTGTCATAAGAAAATGCATGGTTTATATGATTTGTTTATCACTGATTCCATACCTTTTTCAAGTTAAATATGTATTTCTCCCATACTTACACCTGGCAAAGGGAGCAGGGGAGTGAGTGACTGCGTTTGTTATTTAGCGTGTCGTCTGCTGTTGTAGCTCTCGTTCCCTTCCATATTTCACTGGATTTACTGTCATTATTAGTGTTTACTGATAGAATAGTGCTTAACAGTGATTAATCATGGCATTGTAGCTAGGTTGGCTCATCAATGTAACCACCAGTCTACGGGGCCAAGCTGTGAGGTGTTACGGTTTTTTCAACTGGCATTTTCAGGTATATACGAGGTCTGTCCAAAAAGAAACAGAACTTTTTAAAAAACAAATTTATTGATTACTTACAACTTAATCAGACTTGTCTCCTTCAAAGTACTCCCCTCCACTGTTGATACACTGCTCCTAACGTTTTTTTCCAGTTCTGGAACGCATTTTGAGGGATGGTGTGCAGGTCTTGTAGCGAATTTTCTTCTATCTCTTCTATTGTTTGAAATCAGCGACCTTTCAGGATGGATTTCAACTTTGGGAACAAAAAAGTTCGCAGGGGCCAAATCCGGAGAGTAGAGCGGCTGGGGGACGATAGTCATCTCATGCTTCGCCAAAAAGTCACGGATAAGGAGTGACGCGTGAGCAGGTGCATTGTCATGGTGCAGCATCCAGGTCTTGTTTGTCCACGCCTCAGGCCTCTTCCTATGCACTGCCTCCCTCAAACGCTTCAGGACCTCCGAGTAAAACTCTTTATTGACTGTCTGTCCACGTAGAACAACTCATGATGAACGAAGCCCTTCCAATCCAAAAAGGCAATCAACATCACCTCCACATTTGTGCGACTCTGACGTCCAGATTTGGGATCGTCTTCGGTAGATGTTCTTCCCCTTTTGAAATGCTGGTACCACAGGTGACATTGTGTATGGCTCAAACAATCCTCCCCATAAGCCTGTTGCAACATTTGAAAAGTCTCCTTAAAAGTTTTTCCCAATTTGAAACAGAATTTCATGCAAACACGTTGCACTTCAAGATCCTTCATTGTTTAACTTGCAACAAATCGCCAAGTGCACTAAACACACGTTCACTCTAGCGCGTGTAGCTCGATGACTAATTGACGTGGCGTGATGCTGCTAGTGTTAGACTAAAGGTCAAGGTCACCGCTACACAGTGCTCCCGTCGTGAGCACGCTGTGCCAGCTCGTTGGCGTGCTATTTAAAAAGTTTGGTTTCTTTTTGGACATGACCTCGTATACGTAACCTTCTTCATTTATTTTTTCTCATTTACTTGCACACACCATCCTACATACATATTGTGAAAAAAAGTACAGTATTACACTGCAATTACTGACATCCTTCATTTTGGGATGGTTAGATGGCTACGAAAGAAATTCTGTAGGTTTGATCTACGTATCAACCCAGCTGACGCTCAGATGCCATGTGTTCTAGAGACTAATTTTTACGAGGAAAGAATTGCTGTATGGCAACCTAACCAACCCAACTTTAATAACAAAACATGCAGTTGACTTGAGAGTAAACTCTCGCATTTTATCTATATTTCAATACATTTTGTTGTCTTGTTTCAGATTATTTATGAGAGGATTTTCCCATCATTATATATTTGTACAGTAAGTCCTCGCTTAATGTCGTCCCACTTAAAGTTTCGGTATTACGTCGCTGAACTTTAGAGACCAAAAATTTGTTTAACGTCCTGGTGATCCGATACTACGTTGGTTTGCGTCGTCAGACTACTTTCTACGGCGCATCACCCGCTCTTGTCTGGCCATGCTACGCTCTCTCGGCTCGGTGCGCTGCCCTCACTCGCGGAACGTCACAGCGTCCCCAAGCGAGGTCAAGCCAGTCTCTGGTACGACTTCACATCATTTGTGCGTGTTTAAGTGTTTTTGCTCTAAAACTGTAATCTAACCATTCGAAATGGTTTCCAAGTGCCCATCAAGTGTTACTGATGCTAGTGTAGTGAAGAGGCAACGTAAGACCATTACCCCTGCTACGAAAATGGATGTATTAACCCGATTTGAAAAAGGGGAGCGTGCTGTGGACATAGCCGCTGTGCTTGGTCTAACCCCCACAACAGTGCGTACTATCCGGACCAACGCTGACAAGATTAAGGTTAGTGCTGAAAGTGGTTCTTCTCTGAGTGTTACTAAGATGACTCGTACTAGAAGCACTGTGATAGAGAAGGTGGAAGAGATGCTGGCAATGTGGATGGAGGACCAGAATCAATGCAATGCCCCAGTGAGCCTTATGGTTATCCAGCATAAGGCCAGATCCCTGTTTGATGACTTAAAGGCAGAAGAGGGTGAAAGATCGAAGAAAGAGACCTTTACGGCCAGCTGAGGATGGTTTCAACGATTTAAGCATCGTTATAACTTCCACAATATTAAGATGACTGGTGAAGCTGCCAGTTCAGATACGGTTGTTGCCGAGATATTCCCGCCAGAATTCAAACGGACTGTCCAGCAAAGAGGCTACTCACCGAAGAATATCTTCAATATGAATAAGACTGGTCTCTTTTGGAAGAGGATGCATGAGAGGACCTATATCTCCAAGGAGGAGAAAAGCGCACCAGGTTTTAAAGCAGCAGAAGACCACTTCACGCTGCTGCTTGGTGCGAACGCTGCCGGTGACTTCAAGCTGAAGCCAACGCTGATTTCTCGCGCTGCCAACCCACGGGCCCTGAAAGGATACTCTAAGGATCACCTTCCTGTTATTTACAAGGCAAACAAAAAGGCATGGATAACCGGCGCCATATTTAGCCAGTGGTTAAACGTGTACGCCGTCCCTGCACTGAAAGAATACTGTGCCAAAGAAAACCTTCACTTCAAAATTCTACTGATCCTTGACAATGCTCCAGCTCATCCTCCCAATCTCGACGACTTGCATGACAGTGTAAAAGTTATATTCCTGCCTCCCAACATGACAGCACTGATGCAGCCTATGGACCAAGGCGTCATCGCCGCATTCAAAGCGGTATTATTTACGTCGTACCATGGCCCAGCTGCTCAAAGCTACAGACAGAGAAAATAAACCAAAGATCCGAGAATAGTGGCGCAGCTTCAACATTCTTCATGCAGTTAACAACATTGGCAAGGCATGGGAAGAGGTTTCAGAATGTTGTCTGAATGGTGTGTGGCATAAACTGTGGCCCGAGTGTGTCAACAGTTTTTCGGGATTCACGGACTTAGTCCCAGCTGTGAATAGGGATATCCTCAGCTAGGCTAGACAGGCAGGCTTTGATGAGCTGGAATCAGAGGATATTGAGGACGTCCTGGCATCCCATACAGAAGAGCTCACCAACGAAGATCTGCAACAATTAACAGAGCACAGTCCCATTAAAGACGACTACAACGAAGAACCTCAACGAACGCTAACTTCAAAGAGGTTGGCAGAATCGTTGAACATGTTCCAGCAAGCAATGCAAATGCTTCCAGATGACAACCCAAACAGAGAACATAGCTCAAAGGTTCAACGTAGAATTGAGGACAGTCTTGGTTGCTACACCAAGATCTATAAGGAGAAGATGATGAGTAGCACCAAGCAGTCAACACTGAATTCATTTTTTTGTCGCGGGACGGCAGGAGCTTCTTCACAACAGCCAGCAACCGAGGAGGAGCAAACAACAACAGAGAAGGAGAAACCCCAGTCAGAGCAGGAGGCAGCCGCAGTCTCAGTGACTCACCACCCTCCTTCGCTCCACTACCCACCACACACTTCCTCTACCACCTCCGCCCATCGGTGAGTACCAATACATACTTAGTACTGTAGTTCTTTATACTATGCTCTATAGAAATGGCAATAACTTTCTGTATATGTAACTTTTTTCATGGGGCAGAGGTGGGAAATATGACTGCGAACAACTTCATATTTTTCCCGCCTCTGCTAATGGTCTTGTAATATTTCAATGTGATTCTGATCTTTAAAAATTTTGTTTTTGCATAATGTAGTATTACTGATACGTAATTTGTCTTAGTATGCCTTATTGTGGGTAAAAACAAGTATATATATTAAATGCATCCTCCGAAAGCGTAAATTTGCTACCAGAGTTTAACAGTTAATTCATGTATAATACTTCTGATAAACTTCCTACATGCTTATGTTTGAAATAATGAATGTATGTATCTATATAATTTAGCCAAATATCTTTCTCGTCAGAAACGGTCATCCCAACGATTATGAATAAACTCATTTAGAAATACATCATAACTTCAGGACAAAATAGGACAGGTGTGCAACAGCCAATCAGCTGTAACTCTTGGGGAAGGGGCGGGGCATCTTTTCTCAGCTGAGAAAAAACGCACTATAGTTACCCACAGGAAACTTATTTCACTCTACCAGGGCCCAGAATACATTATTGAAATTTCCTGTTGCCATTAACAACTGAGTGACTGCCAGTGGACAATAGGGGTTGGACGTAGAAATATTTGACATAGGTATACATTGCCCAATCTTTTTAATTTTGTTTACACTTTGAGACTTTCTTGACACATTTTGTATTTTACCTTGAATTTCTTCAATTGATGGCTTATGGTACATTCAGTTCCTTTGGACCTTTTACCCTTTTGTGGTATTTCGGCACAAATTGTGTCACATAACCTCTCTCGCTCAGCTGTATCTCACACTGAGAGCACCCCTTCCATAAGCATAACACAGGAACCGTGGACCGGCCCTGTCAACCGCATAAGTTCCTCCCACTAGCCTCATGGGCTGGCAGATGCATGTCTAGGATGCAATTTGGGTCTGGATCACTCTAACCACTGTTTATTAAATTTGAAAAATGGATCCTGTTACCGACGCAAACCGAGTCAAAAAACCGCCAGAGGGTGAGATTTCCGACCGTGGCCAGGAGTGCCAGAGGGTTAACCATAAGCAGTAGGGAAAAGGAAACATGATATTGTGAAAGTTGTTTATTTTGTACTGTAGACAATATTTAAAAAGACACCAGTCCAAGTCCTAAAATCATGCTCCCCCACAATGACACTAAAGGGGAGAGCTCTGCAACTTGCACACCCTATAAAATGTATCAAAAATTATATAACTGACATTGATTGGATCTTGGCTCTCAGCTTCTGGGAGTACTAAACATAATATTCATTTTTCATTTCACATGTGAATAACAAATCACTACAAAATCTTACCAAGACCCAAAATAAAAAGACTATATATTTTAATATGGCCAAGTACCACACACACACACATACCTATCAACGGGCTTGAAGCTAGATATACATGACATTACAAGTGCTAAGTAGCAACACTCTCCATGCAGTTACTAATTATCATGTAATACAACAAAGAATTTGCTCCAACTAACATTTTCTAATACCAGTGTAATTATTGGTGTAAGTGCACTCAAGAGAATTGTATGAATGTTTTTATTTTTATAAGTCATATAACAATACCATTTGCAATTTCTATTCACCTTTTTGCTAGTTTGTACTTACATAAGTGTTGAACTTATTTTGTTTTTTTCATTTACAGTAACAATAGGAATATACTATTAATAACAATCCCAGAATCAAATATCACTTACTGCATCAACATGCATCAGTATGAGCGCCCGACTTTAGGCCTCTCGAGGCTTGAAATTGTGAATTTTAACTTTAATTGAGAGGTCCACCATTAGTAAAGGTTATTGGGTCTCCTGAGTAAAATTTGATGCTTGCAAAACCAATTATTCAAAGTGCAATAACTGTAAATGGGATGGAATTGCATAATGCACAAGAATACAATCCCATTGGTCAATTGCAAACACTGCATAAGCTTTTTTTAACTATCATTTATTTTTTTTATTTATTTTTTTCAGAAAGATTAACATTGTAGTAAGAATATGTACCTGCCATTCTGAATGACAGCTTACTGTTATAGGAAAACAATATTTTCTCATGGATCCAAAGTGTGAACAGTGGCCGTAACATTGTTAGGATTTTTTTTACATAAAAGCTACATGTCAATCCTCATATTTTTTTCCACTACATCGTCAGTCATTCTCTTTAGAAATTACTGTATCATCATCCACACTTTGCCTCTGTGAGAAAGGATATGCTGTACCATAATAGCAGAAGAAAATTAAATTACATATAATGTTGGCACTGCAATATTAATGGAAGAAGGGGCCAACACAGACTCAATGTGACTGTTAGTCATTGAAGCCATCAATGTTGTATCACTGAAAATTTCCCATATTTAGCAACCAAAAGAGGTGGCATTGTATCCAGGTACAACAAATATAGCTTCATGATAACTGTGCATAATACTTCACTTTCCAGCCAAACATGACCAATTAGCTACAAAGTATTTCCACAGGAAACATACATACAATAATCTTGCAAGCCTTACAACTTGTTAAGTTTGACTAAGTACAAGGTGTGTTCAGTGCTTTGGTTGCTGGGAAGATTAGGAGTATGCATCAGAGACCAGTCAAAGTCTCACTTGGAAAAGAGGTTCCACGTGGACTTGTGTATTGTCATTGGTTCATTTGAGGCTTTCGTTAGTCCCAGTTCTGGGGGGGGACCCCTGAGAAAAGCTCATCAAGAGGGACACACCCTCATCCAACTCAGGCTCTTCGCACAACATCTTGGCTAATGCTGCCTCATTCAGCTGTACACCATGAGCGTTTCCTGTTAAAGGAACTAAGTGTGAGTGAGTGCCTGAAGAATATATGAAATCTGTGGTAAAAAGACATTTATTACAAAGAAAATATGCAAGAATTTAAATTTTATTCTTAGAAAACAGTAAAAATTATGAAAGTTCGGTGGTATAGTCATGTTCAAAAGTCGTGCCCAAGCCATGTGCTCTGTGAATCTAAAACCAATAAATTCAAATTGGCATACAAAGATGCCCTGTCAACAGATGACAGTCACCGATGCACAGTGAGCTCTCAAAGATTCGGTCCTGGTAAATCCGGATTTCGGAAGATTTGGACAAAATTTTGGGGTTCCGGGGGCTAAGAAGCATTCCCAAAACAGAGCAAAGATCATCCTAGGCCCATATAAAGATGTCAGCGCATGGGATACAGATGCTCGAGGCGGGAAACATAAACAGAGTTGTCAATTGTTGTTTGTGGGAATATTATTTTATTCACTCTAATAATGATACATGTACAATGTTTCTTATTATGTTGTCATAAGTAAATGCATGGTTTATGTAATTTGTTTATCACTGCCTGTCACCATTTTCAAATTAGACTATAAGATATGTATTTCTCCCATACATATTTCAATTGTACACTTGGCAATGGGAGTGAGTGGCTGCTAATTAGAGCGTTGTTTGCTGTTGCAACTCTCCTAGCTCCTGCCTTACTTCACTGGATTTACTGATATAATAGTGATTAATGATGGCATTGTAGCTACTGGGCTAAGCTGTGTGGTGTTATGGTCGTTTTTCAACTCGTATTATTTTTACTCAGTTACATGCACACACCATCCCACATACATATCGTGAAAAAATGTAAAAGAAATAATTGTCCTAAGGGCAAATACACAAAGGGAATATACATTTCTTTGCACATGAGTTAGCTGACTCGGTGAGGGAGCAGGAGGAACACACAGAGTGTAGGGGGTGGGGAGCATTGCTAGGGAATCAGCGTCTCAGCTGGTCTCCGTTATTATGATGAAGCAGGGGGGTGTATACAAATAACGACTGTGTTTAACTTCCATTTGGCTTTTATTTACCAATTTGGCAATGCAGTATATAGTATTTTTTGTTGTAACATTTTTATTTATTCCTCACGTTTCCTGGTGCTACACAGTATATATATTATTTTAAGAAAACTATGGCTATAGGAGAAAAAAGTCAAATACTCTCTACTAAAATGTGGGGGGGGGGGGTTCTTATATGCCATAAAATACGGTCCTGTATTTTTATTTATCATTATTTATCGTTTTTATACATTTAGTACATTCACCAGAAGATAGGGACAATCGGCTTTTTCAGACAGGTGGTCTTTCAGTTTGGATCTTCGAGGATTCACTGTACGTTGTAAGCACGAACTTGACTGAAAACGAGATATTTATATCACAGTATTCATCAGACTCCTCTATCCAGGCATGTATGGAGATACCGAGTTATGCCATTTTCAATAAAGTTGACAGTTGCATTTAGACACATGGGTAAAGTCCACAGCAACCTGGGGTGCCTTGGAGCTTAGGGACACCCTGGAAGAAGTCTGTATCATTGGCAGTCAATGTTTTGCACTCCTCTAAGTAGCTGGTTGGCCAATCACTGCCCGGGAGAGATTTCTGGTGGGTTAAACAGCATCCAGTGTTCTTGCACCAGCTCTCAGTGTACAATTACAGCAGTTTATAAAAATACTCCAAGCATAATAATGTTAGAGGAAATCTTTACTGACTAAAATGAGTATAGAAAATAGTGATGTTGAAATTACTACTGTATGTACTCTTGAACCACATATTACTATTGTTTTACTGTTTATTTAAAAACAAATTACAATATACAGTAAACTAAGCAAATTGTGAAACTTTGCTCTCGAGCAGCTTATTTTCTGATATATCCCTGTATGAAAATATGTGTTTGGAAAAATATTAAAGATGTATATTATTTTTATTCACATCATTATGGGGAGTTTGAAATGTATAAAGTGTGAAAAAATAAAACATATATGGTTCAAAAGTTATGGTAATGTTAATATCACAGAACTTTCACTGCATTTTGTGGGTGGGGGTTCAGGTGTTAACGAGTTCTTCCACAGTAAGCCCTTCTTATTCACAGTTATGACTTCACAGCAAGCAGATGGTAGGGCAAGCTCACAAGCCTTTGCGAGAGCACTACGAGTCACTCCCTATGAGCCCACAGTATCTCCTGTCATTTGTTTGCAGTCAAACATTGCCCGTGAGGCATCATCTCTCATGTTATGCTCAAAACTTTAATGTTTTGTGCAAAATGCCCTCTATAGGAATGCCTAATGCTAGTGAAGTAAAATAAAAAAGGTAAAAGTTAGTGATGGCCTTTACCAAGTTCCAAACTTCCATATACAAATGTAAGTAGTGGTGACTTAACACACACAGTATTGGTTTTACTGTATTTGCTGTTCTACTCCTTTTAAAATTTTAATAAACTACCCTGTACTACTATGAATAACAATGACAGGAACACACAATTCATTTCATAATCTTTGTCTCAAGACTCGGGCCTCGTGGTCAGTTACCCACTAACTATCGTGATGGGTGCAAGTCCTTCGACCTATGTTCAGTATTTTATAATTTTATTGGGGAAAATACAGTAGATATATTTTGTGCTATGTAATACCTATAAGATAGACATTTGATATAAAAGAGTATTCAAGTATGAATTTTGTTGCAAGTGTGCGTCAACATCACTTGCTCTAGGCTGTGTGCAGTAGCTTCAAATTAAACATCTTTCATCACTCCACACTGCTCATCAACACTCCAGACAACTCTTCAATCATGCTACAATGACAGTTGAATGTAAACACATTCTTCTGTATTTCTTCTTTTATTGATTACCCCCCCCCCCTTTTTTTTCCAAAGTTTAGCCATGTGGGGAGTCTGGCTGGTATTATGTCACAAGGGCTTTTAAGGTTAATCTAATATCATGTGCAACCCCCCACATGCATCAATCACTTAATTTATTCTATCTGGGATGGAATTACCTGTACAGTAACTGGGTTTCAACACCCCCTGTGATTTATAGCGCATTTTCTTGCTCCCTTTTAGAGTGGTTCATAAAATTTCTGAACTGGTTTAACTCTTAAAACCAAAGGTGAACGAGTTTACATAGGTTTCATTCTGTACTTTCTTCCTATTGGTTGGATGAATGAGTGGGATGAGCATCAGCAACAAAGTGTAAACAAACATCAGCTATTCTTAAAGATGGAATTCTACAAAGATTAATGCTTTGAAATCATCAGATGAAGCCACCTATTAAAAGTATTTTACCAAAAATAAAGCCCCTGGTACATTATAGTAAAACAGTAGTGAGTATACTTTACATTAGGTTTTCTTCATAATCTACCTTAACATTTCTGAATGTCTCAGTAGGCATATAATATATAGTTACCCGGTACCCCAGTAGCCACGTCAAAATATTTGCTTCTTCGGAGGACCCAAAAAACAAGTCCTTCTTGTTTAATTTTAATAGCTTATTAGCAAATATACTATGACATTTGATGCTGAAATTACAGTTTACAACAGTGGATAAATATAATGATATTCTATTGAACATTTCATTAACTACTGTATCCCACTTTACTGTTACCGTATTAAAATTTTTTAAAAACTCTAATACAGTACTGTAATATCTCCGTTAGCCAGAATCCCTCAAACACGGAACTCTCCAATAGCCGGAATTGAAATTTTCTAAGAAAAATCATTCCCAAAGCCGTAATTTTCCGGAAAATTACGGCTTTGGGAACGATTTTCAGGGGGACACATTTTCTAGAAAATTATGAGAAGATTTTCCCGATACCCGGAAAATTCCGGAGAAAGGTGAGTTTTTTTGGGTTTCAGAGATGAAAATGAGGCACATTTTCCGGAAATTCAGAGAAATTTTTGGGGGGAACCGGAAAATTCCATGGATGGAGGATATTTTTCCAGGTTCAAGAGATGATATAATGGGCAATTTCTTGAACTTTTAAGACAATTTTCCGTTACCCAGAAAATTACAGAAAATTCCGGGGATGATGGATATTTTTCCAGGTTCAAGTCGTCTCATTACCCAGAAATCTCTCATTCCCAGAAGTGCTCTGCATTAATTGTTCCGGCTAACGGAGATATCACTGTACTGCACAGTAAAATATCACTGTACTGCACAGTAAAAGCATCAATTTGGCAGCCTTTTTTGTTTGATGTTGACAAGGGTCCTCCTTGTCTTCTTCTCTTGACTTTGCCACTGCACATCATGGACAGTACACTGGTCCAAGTGTGACGAACCCTCGAACAGGCCCCGGTTAGACTGGTAAAATTATGTGGCAGGAGAATAATGTGATGCCGGCTTGCACCAAATGAGACTGGAAAATGCAGCTTTCTTTTATATGGCATTCCAATCACGGCACTATGGACCTCAAGCACCTCGATTTAGGGATTTGCTTGGATTCAGTCCTTTGCTGTTCTTCTAGTATAAATAAGATTGTTGTCATGGACCAGTTTCATTGGAGTTGGTGCAGGAATGGCCATGGCCCTCACTGATGGACGTAAACACATTCCCCAAAATACTACTACCTGTATATCCATTTCCTGTGAAGTTTTCCCTCAATCTTTCTCAAGTCATCTTGCCCATATGCCCACATCCACCCCCCAGAGACTTATGTTGGTATTCTTAAAACGTTCTTCCCATTGACAGACACCTGCTTCTTGCCTAGGAACAGGGCTACCAAAAGAGGATTTCAACTTTCCAAAGCAAAGGATTTTTTATGCACAGTGGAGTCAAGAAATATTTCACCGAATGGAAGCAATATATTTAAGAACTCTAGAGTGACTCTCCCACTCACACCATGTTCCTGAATGTGATGCCTTGCATACCGATTGTTCAGAGGCTTCCAGCACTACTTAGACCCAGCCTCGATGGTAGTGCTGGGTTTTCCTGCTAATGTTATCCATAGTATTTCATTAAAAGTGTAAAAGGAGTAGAACAGCAAATACAGTAAAAACCCCTATCCCCTCACCCTACAACTTACATTGCTGAGTGCTATCTGTTGACAGAATGGAACATCTTTGCATGCCGATTTGAATTCACTGGTTCAAGATTCACAGCCTGGAGAAGACTTTTGGTCGTGACTGTACCTAACCCTTAAATATAAATTCAACTCATTCTACAGAATCATAATATAACAACAAACCTGCATGAGCAACAAAGAGATCCTTAAGAATGCCCAATTCTTTATTAAGAATCTTAATGTTTTCCTCCAACTCTTCATTTTCAGTACTCAGTTGAGTAACCCTATCGATCATCTGCTGGGTCTTCATTTTTGTCTTGAGACGTGACTTCTTCACTGCCTGGTTGTTGCGGTCACGACGTCTAAAAAACAATATAATTTAGGGATTAATCCTGGAAGCCCATTTCATATCTAAGCATGGATTGGACAACTGGGATTTCAAGGATTGGGATTCAACGCCAGAAAAATTCTTCTTTACAATAACAACTATAGCCTCTTAGAAAAGGAGGTACAATACAACACTTGGAAGCATAAACTGCCAATTAGATTGAAAACTGGGAATCTTCATTGCCTTCTCGCTCATCCTAGCACCTAAAGGAGGAGGCAAGGATCTCAGTCACATGTTCAATGGTTGCTTATAAAAATTGGATTTAATGGTCGATCCATTATTTATAACTTTCATATAGATCAGGTGATGTACATAAAACCATCTAATACAGAAAGGAGAACTGAGTTATTAAGTTTAAGAAGTTAAGAAAGAACTGCATCTTGAACCAGATTAACTTAATAATTAATCTTACAGGCTCCCAACTATTTCATAATCTAAAGGCTAAACACCTTCACAGATGCCCAGGCACCCCAATGGAGGAGTGACTAAGAGATATACTTTGAAGAAAAGCTAAGGATGCAGCAATTTTCATACAGTTTTGGGAATAAGACATATATCCAGTTTGTTTAATGCCAGTAATTCTGAACAGCCTTTATCTGTCTAATTCCAAGGCTGGGAATTCTTTCCTCCAGCTGAAGCTTTTTTAATAATAAAAATTTTCAGCTCAGCCTGAGGCTATCCCACTAAAGTGAGTGGATTGACTGTGTTGTCTATAACTATATCATAACCAGTGACACAATGTGGATCACATAATTTTGCATGCATGCTAGCTTGGTGGCAAGGACTTCCAGCTTTCTGCCTGACTAGCAACCAATGCCTCCCAAATAGTTGTATTGGAAAAGAATATCTAATTCTTTGGAATTAGTTACTACTCCATGTATCTTGCAACATGAGAAAACTGGCTATCAAACTACATGGATTACTTAATACAGTATAGTCTGGTTTTACGCGGTTAATTAAACCCATGGAGGTCTGCACATATAGCGAAACAAGTAAATAAAATAACAGAACCTTTGGGATTAATTGAAATAGAGACTCGGCCAACCTCCAGACTCACCTTTTTTGGCTATCGCCGACACAATACTATACATTGTAGTAAAAATGACATCTTAATTTTATGATGGTAGTTCAGGGCTTCTCGGGGGTGGTGGGGGTCCAGCGGAAGCCATTGTGGAGAAAGAAAAAAAAGCACTGGTTCCTGGTCACGAGTGAATATATACGGAGACAGTGAGACTGACGTGGCGGCGGAGAGCTGGGTGGCAAGTATGCCTAGAGTCTAGGCATACTTGCCACCCAAGCTCTCCGCTGCGCTGTGATTGGTCTAGCGTGCGGCGGAGGGGGTGCGTGGGTAGTAAGGATACGTGGCCCAATCACAGTCTGCGATGTCACCGGCTGCTTGCCGCGTGCATGATGGAATTTACCGTGTAAATAATAATTATCACTTCTGACAGGTGCTGCGTAAAAAATATTCTCGTAAAACCAGACTATACCGTATAAAAAAGTTATAAAAGGGTGTGCTACAAAATAAGAATTTGCCACTACAGTACTATTAAGAGTATTAAACATTCACCTTTAAACTGTAATTACTTTAAACATCGAAAGAATATTATTGTGGTAAAGTTTTTTTGAGAACATAAGTAAATATATAAGTACTTTCGGTACTCCTCAGTGTTCTTGACTGGCCGACGAGAACCTGAGGTCCCACTTGAGCTTCCACCTGAGGAGTCATCTCCACTCTCACTGCTTACTCCCTCAACCTTTGGTGCCATCTCCACTCCTGCAGAACAAATGAGTTTTAGTTTCTTTTGGTAATGAACTTACCATTAAATGAAAAAGTATATACAGTGCATAATTCTGTACAGTAGTCAATTACACAAAAAATTCCTAAATCACACTCACCCTGCATAAAGATGTTACCTCATTAAATCATGACCTTGGAAAAGGTAAAGGTCAGCACTGAATCAACTTTCATTTTTTCATAAAATTATATGAGTCGACAATAATTCCTCAATTTATTTATACTGTACACATTACTGCAAAGGTACCATTCAACTGGTGTACACTTTTTGAAGATTCTGCATGCACAATGGCTTTAAATTCTTAAAGGCATCAGTATGATAACAAATCTCATGTAAAAGCTCTTCATGTGGGAAGATGGGCTCAATTTACAAAACTAGGTGTTTTTTATTCTCAATAATTTTAACTACAATACCATATCTAGAAGGAACAGTTTGGAAAACAATAATGATCTTAAATTTATTGTTCAGTATGTTTTTTTTTCTGTGGAATAGAATATAAAATTAAGTTACTTTAAAGCTGGAATTAGCATAATACACCCTCTAATCAAGAGTAACTTGACTAACCTACTTCCTGGTTGCAGAGAGGTGAATATATGTCAAGACCTTTCACTTTGCCAAATAAAAAAATGTGGATGGGCTAGGTCTTCTTTTTGGCAATTATTGGTGTACGTGCTGCTTGATGTTGATCAATGATGTTATGGTACCTATTCTGAGGGCAAGTGAGCTCAATCACCAGGGGCTGTCCCCCCCCAAAGCACAAACCTGTCTCACTTGATATACCTGAAAAATATAGAAATTATTAAAGTTGAAATACATATTTACTCTTGTCAAGTTAAATCATTGATCACTGTTCATCTCTGATTATAAATCAAATGCTAAAGAGACAACAAGAAATAGCTGCCTCTTGCTTATATTATTTATAAACAAAACCCTGAAGTTGCCAATATTATCAACAGAAGTGACAATATAACCTGCAGTCTGTGATGACATTATTAAAAAAAGTTAAGAATAAATCATAGCCTGAGTGTATAAAAATGGTTGGAATGAGTAAAAATTCTTGATCTTGAGAAAGTATAACAATGATGAGGAAATTGTACAACAAAATTTATGAGGAATTACTAACAAAACAGTAATGATTTGTTGATTTACAACCTGAGACCTAACTCCCTCAAATAAATGAGAGACTTGTGATATCAAATAATTTTCCATTAACAACAACAACACCCACCACCACCAATAACAACAACACCACCACCAATAACAACAACACTCACCACCACAATAACAACAACACTCACCACACCAATAACAACAACACTCACCACACCAATAACAACAACACTCACCACCACCAATAACAACAACACTCACCACACCAATAACAACAACCTTACTCACCACACCAATAACAACAACACTCACCACACCAATAACAACAACACCCACCACCACCAATAACAACAACACCACCACCAATAACAACAACACTCACCACCACAATAACAACAACACTCACCACACCAATAACAACAACACTCACCACACCAATAACAACAACACTCACCACCACCAATAACAACAACACTCACCACACCAATAACAACAACACTCACCACCACCACCACCAATAACAACAACACTCACCACCACCAATAACCAACATCACCACACCAATAACAACAACACCACCACACCAACAACAACAACACCACCACACACCACTAACAACAACACACCAATAACAACAACACTCACCACCAATAACAACAACACTCACCATATAACACCACCACACCAATAACAACAACACAACCAAACAACAACAATGACACCACCACAATAACAACAACAACACTCACCACACAATAACAACAACACTAACACCAATAACAACAACACAATAACAACAACACTCACAATAACAACAACACAATAACAACAACACTCACCACCACACAATAACAACAACACTCCCACCACAACAATAACAACAACACTCAACACTCACCACCACAATAACAACAACACCACCACCACCAATAACAACAACACCAATAACAACAACCACCACCAACAACAACAAACACTCACACCACTCAATAACAACAACACTCACCATAACAACAACACAACCACCAATAACAACAACACACCACCACAATAACAACAACCACAACACAACACCACCACAACAACACCACACACCAATAACAACAACACCACCACACCAATAACAACAACACTCACCCAACACCACCAATTCAACAACAACACTAACAACACACCAAATAACAACAACCAAATAACACCACCACAATAACAACAACACTCCCACCACCACAATAACAACAACACTCACCACCAAGCAACAACACTCAGCACTCACCACCACCAATAACAACACAACCACCACCATCAACAACAACACAACCACCAATAACAACAACACTCCACCACCAATAACAACAACACTCCACCATCAACACCAATAACAACACAACCATCACAACAATAACAACCTTAACAACACAATAACAACAACACTCACACCATAACAACAACACTCCACCATAACAACAACACTTACCACCAATAACAACAACCACAATAACAACAACACTCACCACCAACAACAACACCCGCACCAATAACAACAACACTCCCACCACAACAATAACAACAACACTCACCACCACACCAACAACAACACTCACCACACCAATAACAACAACACCTCACACCACAATCAATAACAACAACAACACTCACCACACCAATAACAACAACACTCACCACACCAATAACAACAACACTCACTACACCAATAACAACAACACTCACCACCACCCACCAATAACAACAACACTCCCACCACAATAACAACGCTCACCACCACCAATAACAGCAACACTCCACCACCACAGCAACACTTCTCACCGCAACAACAACAACCACACCAATAACAACACCACCACCACCAATAACAGCAGCAATAACAACAACCTCTACCGCCAATAACAATAGCCTCCCCACCACAGTAACAACAACACTCCCCTACCAATAACAACACCACCAACAACAACCTCCTGCCACAATAGCAACAACACTCTTACCACCAATAACCAACACTCCCCACCACAATAACGACACTCACCACCACCAATAACAAGCACTCACCACCACCAATAGCAACAACCTCCACCACCACCAATAACAACAACGTCACCACCACGGCAACAACAACAATCACCACCACCAATATGACAACACTCACCACCACCAATAACAGCAACACTCACCACCACCAATAACAACAGCACTCCACGCCACCACCAATACTGTAGCACTCACCACCGCAATAACAGCAACTACTCACCACCACCAATAAGCAACAACACTCGACAAGCCACCACCACCAATAACAACAACACCACCACCACACCACAACCACCAATAACAACAACACTCACCACCACCAATAACAAAACAACACCACCAAACACCACACTAAACAACACCACACCCAGCACACCACAAATAACAACACCACCACCACCAATAACAACCATCCACACCACCAATAACAACCAGCACCCACCACCACAATAACAACTCCCCACCACCACCAATAACAAACACTACAATACTCACACAATAACAACAACACTACCACACACAATCACCACCACCAATAACAACCTCTCACCACCACACCAACAACCTCAATTAGCAATCACCACACCAATAACAATAACCTCACTAACAACAACCTCACCACCACCAACAACACTCACCCACACCAATAACAACAACACTACCAACACTCACCACCACCAATAACAACAACCTCACCACCACTACCCCACTCACCACCCAATAACAACAACACTACCACACCAATAACAACAACACTCCCCCAATATATAGCACTCCTGCCTGCACAATAACAACACTCTGCACCAATAACAACACTCACACACCAATATGCTCACCACCACCAATAACAACAACCTCACCACCACAATAACAACAACACTCACCACCTGTAACAACACCACCACCACCCCCACCACAATAACAACAACCTCCACCACCACCAATAACAAGGACACTCACCACCTATGCAGCAACACCCCACCACCACCAAGCAACCACCACCACCAGCCAACAACAACACTCACCACCACCCAATAACAGCAGCACTCACCACTAAATAACAACACTTACTCCCACCACAAGCCAACAACACTCACCACCACCAATAACAACAACACTCCTTACCAATCACCCAAACAATCACCACCACCAATAACAACAACACTAGAGTGGGCTGACACTCCACCACCACCAATAACAACAACACCCACACCACCAATAACCCACCACCACCAATAACAACAACACTCACCACCACCAATAACAACAACACTACCACACCAATAACAACAACACACTCACCACAATTCAATAACAACAACACCTCACCAATAACAACACTCACCACACCAATAACAACAACACTCACCACCACCAATACAACCTCACCACCACCAATAAACACCCACCACCACAAACCTACCACCACCAATAACACTCACCACCACCACCATAACAACAACACCACCACCACCAATAACAACTCAACCACCAACAACACTCACCTCACCACCACCAATAACAACAACACCCCCACCACAATAACAACAACACCACCACCACCACAACAAGTCACCACCACCAATAACAACAACACCCACCACCACCAATAACAACTCACCACCACCAATAACAACAACACCACCACACCAACACCCACCACCACCAGTGTTAACCACCACCACCAATAACAACAACACCCACCACCACCAATAACAACTCACCACCACCAATAACAACAACACTCACCACCACCAATAACAACAACGCTCACCACCACCAATAACAACAACACTCCCCACCACAATAACAACACTCACCACACCAATAACAACAACACTCACCCAAACAATGGTAGAGTAGACTGTGCTTGAGATTTTGCTGTGTACTGTACAAATAATTATCTCTTGTTACCATGTTTTCATTTATTTTTGGAATCCTCAGAATGAAGTTATTTATACTGATGATGTTTTTGTCATTTAAAATGAACAGAATGTAAAGAAAGTTTATTATAAGCATAAATGGGGAACAAAACATCTACATACTACTTGTTGCCAAAGCTCGTACATCTATTTCTGGAGCCCTCACAGAATGATATAATTTTTTTTTGGCCGACATCCTAAGGCCAGGGGACCCTCAAAATACAGGGCAACTTTTTTTTTTAAGACTGCATTATTTATTATTGGAATTATGGGAATTTCTTTGTCAAAATACAACCCTTCCCATATCATAATCCATGGTTAATTGCTTAACCCATTTGGATATACAGTACGTACCAAGCCATCTTTCCTCCCCATCCCAGCAAAAGAGAGATGGAGTAAAAAACTGCCCACTAGGGACTAGGAGGTCTTTTTAGAACCAAATTTACCCAACTAATGGTAGACCCTGCTGCCATACCGTATTACGAGAATTGTGACCAAGTCCTAGGTTGCTGATCTGACTTTCTGCCTCATTTACAGTGTGGTATGCTATAACGAACGGATCCTACTACGAATATTCCTATAACGAACGGTTTTACCTATAAAATTGAGAATGCTATAACGAACGCAACTCCTACAACGAACGCGGATGAATACGGGACTACTTCACCTGGCGCATGAATATTGTTGTACCGCGACCCACAA